GGGGGTCATCACTACCTCTCCCTTGTGGCATCCTCCATCTTTCGGTCTGCCACGTGGCCAACTTGTTCGTGCAGCTCCATCAGCACTGTCTGCGTCTGCCAACTTGGCATCGCGAGGCGTTTGGCGTTCGTGGCATTGTCTTTGCACCACGTGATGTCACCTTCAAAGAGGAGTTTCTCCCACTTCTGTCGCCCTCATTCAACGATCCTGGTCACCGGCAGAGCCGCATCGACTGTGAGCATGGCACTCACTCTCTCCTACACCGAGGCTGTTTTGGGTGTTGGAGGTGTGGCGTGTCTTCAATGATGGCTGGTAAGTTCGCTTAACACCATTCCATCCAACGTGTCGCTACCTGCGATTGCAGAGGGAGGACTTCGCGACAGACCAACTGTGTTGCCGTGGGCACTGTTTTTCCTGTACTGCACTATAAGGTCACACGGTTGTAGTTCTCCATACAACCGGGTGACTGTGCTCTCTATCCCCTCCACTCCATGGTTCCTCCACACTACAAGCTGCTTGTTTAAAACGTCTGAGCATTGTGGGCGTGGCGAACAGTAACCGTTACGTTGAGCTCTTTTGTCTCATCTTGCGGGTTGAGTGCGAGCTGGCACAAAAGAGGGCATGTTCGGCTGTGTTTTTGTGGCTTGCGTCAGTGTCCAACACGAAAGGCGGAGCATCGGTCTCAAAGTTGGTCACAGCTAGTATCGGTGGTGTGCAGCGAGTGTGCTTCAGCACCTTAAACGCCTCGGTGTGTTGGTTTACCCCGCGAAACTCCGTTGTCGTCGAACTCTCCGTCACTTTGCATGGTGGACCGGCGATCTTGGCGACTTCCTTGACCATGCTCCGATGGTAGTAGTAGTAGTGTGCTAAACCAAGGGAGCTGCGCAGTTCAGTTTGGTTGGTGGGTGTCAGCCAACTGCTTACTCGATTTGGTTGGTCGTCTGTGACTGCCATGCCACCATCAGAATTCGTGTGTTCCAGGAACGTGACGGATTTGTGGAGACTACCGCACCCCTTCGGCACCAACGTCATACCTGCTTCCCACAGACGATGTAGCACCAACGAAAGATTGGAGTTATGGTGCTGAATGTCCTTCCGAAGACATGAAT